ATTTATAATAACGTCAAAATTTGACAATATGTTAAAATTTGTGTCAAATTTAGCAAAGAATAATAATGTCAAAATTTGACAATTTTAATGACCGTCTTATTGGAACACCCAATTATTATAATATAATTATGACAATTTAAATAGCATTCATATTTAAAGTTGATAATCAAAAAACAAAACCCCAAAACACCTCTCCATAGCTTTTAAATAATAATTATTGTTCTACTTATTTAAATTATTTTTATTTAATAAAATATACTAAATAATTTAACACAAACTTCTAAAATAAAATAAGGTATAAAATTCACCAAATAACACAATAGAAATAGTAAACACTACATAATTTTTTTATTAATAAAATAATATTACCATTAAATTTTAGTTGGTAGAGTTATTCAAACTTTAAAGCCCTACCCTAAAAAAAGGGTCACGAGTTGTCACATTTCAAGTCCCACTTTTAAGTATCAGTGCGTCACCATCTTAAAAAACAAGAAAGTATCAGCGCATCGCTCAATTCTATTTGATCAAACCCCATCCACTACTTCTTGTTCCAAAAAAAATAATAAATAAAAAATCGCAATTATCCTTGCATTGCTTAAATAAAATTTCAACAACTTATTATTCTATTTGATTTGACTTGCTCACAAATTCTGAATGCGGGAATGACAATTGCACAATTAAAATAACATTGCTAAATAATCACATTTTCACAACCGAAGTAGATAACTATGGCTAGGCGAAGGTAGGGTCAACCTCGGGTGACACATCCAACACTATGGACAACTACTCAAAGTAAGCTTCTAAGCACTAACTACACTAAAAACAAAAAATAATAATTCTACAAAATATCAATTAAAGCAAAACATAAAAACACTATGGCTATATATTCTCAAAAGATGGATTCCACACCAACTTGTTATGTGGGGCTCGAAACGTTTGTGAACATAAACGGTGTGTTTGTTTTGAAAGATTGAAAAGTGGGATTGGATTATTAATCTCATCAGATTAATAGTTTATTATTTGTTTTTTTTTTTTCGTTTTGGATTAATAGTCTTCACTGATTATTAGTCTCATAATTATGGGATTATCCTATCCCATGGAGGGAGATGGGATAGAAACCATGGGATTAGTATCCTATGAGATTATTTTGTGAAATGTCTATTTTATCCTCCATACTATTACTTAGCAAAAAATTAGAAAATGATAAAATAGTCTTAAAAAAAATTTCACAATATTAAAAATAACACAATATTCAGAATTTTAATAAATAAAAAAAAAACAGAATAATAATTATCAATATAAAAGTAGAAGAGATAGAGAGAGAAAATCAAACACTGCGATTTATAGTGGTTCGGCACTCCAGGCCTACGTCCACTCCCCAAGGAACCTCCTTGAGAATTTCTTTACTATCAATTGAATAAATACACCACCAAGCTTGTGGATTTGGCACAGGACTTACTCTTATCTATTGATCCTCACTCAACAATAAATGCCTTACCCTTACAAAATCTCTCACAAAAATAAGGAATAAGAATAAGTGGTAATTGAACCCACTTTTACAATAATTCTCTCACAAAGAGTAGATATGAAAGTGTAAGAACAAAAGCTAGACTTAGATCTGAAAGTGAAAGAGAAGAATACAATTTGGAGCTCACAGAAAATTTTCTCTTCAAGTTCTTGGTTTTTCTCCGCATCCAACACTTCTATTTATACACAAAAATATGCCCGTTGGACACTCCTTGCTGACGTCATGGCTTACATAAGCACGCTCCTGACGTCATGGCTTACATAAGCACGCTCCTGACGTCATGGCTTACATAAGCACGCTCCTGACGTCATGGCTTACATAAGCACGCTCCTGACGTCATGGCTTACATAAGCACGCTCCTGACGTCATGGCTTACATAAGCACGCTCCTGACGTCATGGCTTACATAAGCACGCTCCTGACGTCATGGCTTACATAAGCACGCTCCTGACGTCATCGCTTACATAAGCACGCTCCTGACGTCATCGCTTACATAAGCACGCTCCTGACGTCATCGCTTACATAAGCACGCTCCTGACGTCATCGCTTACATAAGCACGCTCCTGACGTCATCGCTTACATAAGCACGCTCCTGACGTCATCGCTTACATAAGCACGCTCCTGACGTCATCGCTTACATAAGCACGCTCCTGACGTCATCGCTTACATAAGCACGCTCCTGATGTCATCGCTTACATAAGAACGCTCCTGACGTCATGGCTTACATAAGCACGCTCCTGACGTCATGGCTTACATAAGCACGCTCCTGACGTCATGGCTTACATAAGCACGCTCCTGACGTCATGGCTTACATAAGCACGCTCCTGACGTCATGGCTTACATAAGCACGCTCCTGACGTCATGGCTTACATAAGCACGCTCCTGACGTCATGGCTTACATAAGCACGCTCCTGACGTCATGGCTTACATAAGCACGCTCCTGACGTCATGGCTTACATAAGCACGCTCCTGACGTCATGGCTTACATAAGCACGCTCCTGACGTCATGGCTTACATAAGCACGCTCCTGACGTCATGGCTTACATAAGCACGCTCCTGACGTCATGGCTTACATAAGCACGCTCCTGACGTCATGGCTTACATAAGCACGCTCCTGACGTCATGGCTTACATAAGCACGCTCCTGACGTCATGGCTTACATAAGCACGCTCCTGACGTCATGGCTTACATAAGCACGCTCCTGACGTCATGGCTTACATAAGCACGCTCCTGACGTCATGGCTTACATAAGCACGCTCCTGACGTCATGGCTTACATAAGCACGCTCCTGACGTCATGGCTTACATAAGCACGCTCCTGACGTCATGGCTTACATAAGCACGCTCCTGACGTCATGGCTTACATAGATACATCTAAGTAAGGTGCATCTAAAAAAGTAAAAAAAATGTTTAAAATTTAAAAAATATTCACTAAAAACAAAAAAACATGAAAACCAAAATCTCAATTTTTAAAAAACTTAATCCAAAAAACTCAAACCAAACACACAAAATATTAGCCATTTCAAATTAAAATAGTCAATAAAATAAAATATTTAAATATTTTATTTTATTTATTTTTTATATTTTTTTAATAAGAAATTAAATAATCTATTCCAAAACAGACGGCATCACCCAAATGTACTGATCAAACCCCATTCACACCATCGAGGGTGGTGACCCAGTGGTGAAGGCATTGCTTCCCACAGTCATGAGTCAAGTTCGACTCTTATAAGGCATGAAAATCCTAGATTTTTCAAGGGCTCTTTTCGAAGACCTCGCGCTGCATTTCGATCGAAACTTGTCCATGGTTGAAGCGATTGATGAGTCGCGCTGTATTCCGATCAAAATTTATCCATGGTTGAAGCGATTGAAGAGCTCCACTGGTACTTCATTGGTGAGTCCCTTCCTATGAATTGAATTAAATTAAGCTGACAACCGATTACTCTAAAGTCCGAGCCTACAAATATAATGATGATACTTCAAAACATTCTTTTTTTTTATAGTTAAAAAAAATAAATAAATAAACCACATCGGCCGCTAGTTGTTATAAAAAAACATCCGCTTACTTTTTTTTATTCGATAGGCACTTTGTTCTTAAATGGTACTTTCTTTTAGGAACCCGCACTTTTGCCAATGCAAACAAAAGAAATAGGACAACGCATACACTTCCATTGTTCTTCTCCATAGAGTAGTTGTTATTGTGGCCTTTCTATTGCACTTGTTGATGGTAATAATTGAGCACTAGATTTTTCTTGCCTATGTATAAAGGCATTGAAAATGCTGTCATCGTCTTTGAGATATGTAATACATAGGGGTTATTTGGAAAAAAGTTTAAGAAGTTTAAAAAATTTAAGTCACATTATTTTTCATATAAAAAAATTTGAAATTTTTTAAAAATTAAAAAGTTATCTTTTAATCAACTTCTCAAATCACTTATAGTAAAATATAGTAATGAAATTTTTTACTTGCAACTATTTTCTTTTATATTCTCTCCCAAATTCTCTGTTTATCACTTTATTAAGATAGAAAATTTTGATCATGCAGTAAAAACAGAATTTAAAACAAGAAAACATGAGAAAAATGAGACAATAAATTTAGACTTTTACAAGACAAACAAACCAAATTAAATCAAGCGCTAAGTCTTTATCAAATGGGATCAACTTCTACAAGACAAACAATTCATTCATATTCTCTTTACTTCAAAACACAAAAAACTCGACAAAGGCCAAACATAATTCTTTTTTCGTTTTCATTTAGAAAGTAATGTTTTTTTTTAAATATTTTATCCGGAACCAATCCGTGGACTACGGATTTTTAATTCTTCAATCCGGAACCGAACCACGGATTCAAAAAACGAATCCAAACCTATCGAATTGGACTGGACTGGATCGGATTACGAATTTTACGGATTTCTTACTCAGCCCTAAGTCCATCTCTTAAAAAGCTAAATAACAAAGAAACAAATCACTCTTTATGGTTTCAATTTTCAAAATTTACTTTTTAAAAAATTCTACTTTTTTATTTTTTATATTTTTTTGTTTTCATTGAATTTTTAAAAATATTTTAAGTAATTTTTAAAATTTTTAAACACACCTTAACATAAATACACTTAAAAAGTATAATATTTGTAAAAAAAAAAAAATCTTAAAAAATTTCACTAAATACCAAAAATATAAAAAAAAATACAAAAATTCAATACATTTTTAATATTTTTTTGTACTTATTAATTTTTTAAAATATTTTTTCACAAATATTTTACTATTTAAATACATTTAAGTAAGGTACATCTAAAAAAGTAAAAAAATTACTTAAAATTTTAAAAATATTCACTAAAAACAAAAAAATACAAAAAATAAAAACTCAATTTCTAAAAAACTGAAACGAAACACACTAATAATATTCCTATGCATCTTGAATATGTATCACATATCCATTAGTTTAATGATCTCATTTTTCTGATCTTATACCAATGCATTAGTAATTAAAACATTAAATATAATTAAACTTTGATACTAAAAGTTGGTCATGGTAGCATTACACATTAAATAAAAAAACCTATCAAACTACACCATTTGCTCTCTACAAAACTTCAGCGGTATCATCACTCACCAAAAACCCCTTTTTCACTTCATTTTCATATTTTTCACTTTTTCCATTGCAAGTACTCAGCTCCAAGCCAGTGCTGGTAAGTTCCATAGCCTTCAAAGCCTCACCTTCCCAATCGGTACGCTCCATCACAACATACAAAATGGACACGGCGCAAGCGGCTTGAGCCGATAGGAGCCCGAGCCAAAGTCCACTAAAGCCAACACCGAACCAAAAGGCTAAGCCGACGGCTACAGGGGTGCCCACAAAGTAAAATGAGATGAGATTGATACGGGCACCCACGGCGGGCCTAGCGGTCCCACGTAAGATGCCACAACCAGTTGTTTGAGGGCAGTTGCCGAGCTCACACAATCCCATGATTGGCATAACTGAAGCAACTAGGGTTTTGACTTGATCATCGGTCGTGAACAAGCCACCCCATCTGTCCCTATAGAACACCGTCCATATCACGTTGATCATACCGATAAAAAAAGCGCAGCCCAATGCAACTAGGGCAGCCAGCTTGGCCTTATATGGCTTCCCCGCTCCAAGCTCATTGCCAACCTGCACATGTACGTGTGAAAAAATTAATTTTTTTTTTTTTTTTCAAAAGTACTTATAATGTTTCATAATCATAATGTGTAAATTGACAACATAGATCTAGCGGGCTCCATGAAGAAATCAAAACATAAAATCATGGTCTAGATATGCACAAGTTTTTCGGGTCCCATTCTTGCCCACAATGGTGTGTTGTGCCACTATTGTTGTCTCAAATGGGATATTTATGCATGTCTTACAAAAATCAGACTCCGTTTGAGGGATGTGAAGAAAATAAAATGATTTAGAGTTTTTAGCTTAGTGAGAAAAAAAGAAATTAACATTGAGTTATAGATTTGGAGAGAAATATTTGAATTTAAAAGATTTAATAAACAGAATTAAAATAGAACATATGGAATATAATTTTAATAACAGCAATAATGGAAACAGATAAGAAGTGAAGATTGAGAATCAAGAACCACCTGTGAGTGAATATTTTTATTAGTTAGGATTAATTATCACAATAGTTAGAGAGATTGGAATGGATATAATCCATAGAATGAAGGCAAGGTAACTTAAATGGAGGAGTGTAATTGGGATATTGTGTGATAAACACGTACCCATCAGACTTAAAGAAAAGTTTTATAGAACTACTATTAAACCAGCGATCTTGTATGAGACAAAATGTTGGGCAATTAAAAAACATATAGATAAGCTAAGTGTTGTTGAGATGAGAATGCTAAGGTAGATGCGTGTCAAAACTACAAAAGACAGAATTAGTAATAAGTATATTCGTGAATGGGTAGGATTAACACTGATAGAAGATAAATTGAGAGAGAATAGATTAAGATGATTTGGTTATATACAATGGAGACCACCGAAGACGGTGCTAAAAGAATACAATGCAGTAACAGTAGATGAAAGTGTTAAGGGAATGAATAAATCTAAATTGATATAGGCGAGTATAATACATAGAAAATGAATTTTCTTTATTTGACTAACTAAATGACCGTTAAAGTCGATTGGAAAAAAAAATATTCATATAACCGACCTTATTTGATGAAATTTAAGTTTTGATTTGGTTATATATAAGGCAAAAAAAAAGAAAAAAAAAGTATAAAAAAAAAGTATCCACCCCCGCCCGCCATCAGCCTGATTTATTCATCTTAATATGATTTGGGGCGAGAAATAACAAACATGTCTCAAATATATCCCGTGAAAATCCCTGCTTATTAGTTTATACAGACATTTTAAAAAACGATATTGATTTTTAATGAAAAAGTGCTTGTTGGGTTCCATTTTGAAAACATTAGTTGTCATTAAAAGATGACCATCAATGGAGAATGTGAATACAAAGTGACAAAATAAACAAAAACTAAGCCATGTAACGTCACAATTAATGGCCTATTTTGGCATCAAGATTAAAAGTGAATTTTTTAATTTTTTTAGTCGTCTCTTTAATTTTTTTTGCACATTTTTTTTAAAAAAAATTTTAAAAAATTAGCTTTTAACATATTTTTCAAAAGAAGTCACTGTTTCTTTGCTGTCCTACACAAGCAAGTGGGTTTTTGACTTTTTTTTTTTTGAAAAAAATTTACAAAAAAATAAAATAAATTAAAATAATTAATAAGATAAAATGTCACATCAAATCTATAATCATTTTACTTTTTTCATTACAAACATCACATCCAATCCAATTCTCTTTTCAAACACAAAAATTTTAACTTATTAAAATAGTTCCAACAAGGCCTATATATGATGGGGTGTTTTTAAAAGTTAGTTAAAAGTTAACTTTTTAATTTTTTTATCTTTTAATGAATAAAAAATATGAAAAATAATGTGACTCAAAATAAATTAAAAATCAAAACCTGACTTTTAACCTAGTTGCCAAAACAGCGGCACAAGTCATTGTCATCTAAATATACTGGTCATATCATAAAAACAAAAATTTGTTTCTATCCATCCAAACAATTTAAATGTTTTTGTTTTCATTTTATTTTTGTTTTTGTTTCTTATGATACCAAAATAAATATTAATAGAATATCAAAATTTCCATATTTTGAAACAGAACATATTTTTATATATAGATAGATATATTTTTTGGACTCAAACACAACATATCAACAATAATCATTTTATATTTTCCACTTTTTTGTCACAAAAAAAATTTAAGAACAAAGAAAAACATTAAATTCATTAGAGAATTTAATACAAAAATAAATACAAAAGAGTATGATTAAATCACTTATTTAATGAAATTGGTGACTTGATTTTTTTTTTCTTTTTTTCCTATTACTACTAGAATTTTGATTATTTTATTTTACCTTTTAAAGGAAAATTATTTATAAATCCTATTTGGAAGACTTATTTAATGTAAAATTTTATGAACATTTTTTTAGAGTTTGAAATCTTATTTAAATAGGAATGTATTTCATAAAATCCTATGAGTTGTAAATGAATGATATTAGTATACTATTATACTCCTAATTTGTTTTCATATTGTACCTAATTTTCTCATTCATCATATCACGTTTGGGAATGCTTTTAGGAAAGATAAGTCTACAAGCACTGACTGTACGAGTTTTTTTCGCCTTGATCGTGGAATTTCAGTGCATTTTCAAAATGTTGTTTAAATAGATGTAGACATGGTCGATGATATGATGAAGTTTGAGAGTTGTGTGTTGATTCCTTCGACAGATTTGGACTCCAATCGGTTGAGAGGAAGGAAAGAGGCATTTTTTTTTTGTTGAAGTGTGTTGCTGTTTATTGAAGTGTGAATTGTTCATCTTTAATAGGGCATTGACGATCTATTACACTTATTGATAGGCACACTTTTGGCCAATGTTCTAATTGAATGTGTATATTTAACGTTGTGATGGTTGATGCGTTTTGATATGTTCGATTTGTGGGGTGGTGTGTATGGGTTCAAGAATTGGGTTAGGGGTATTTGGTTTTGGTTGTTAATTGGATATCAAATGTGAACCATGTCGTAAGATGATAATTGTAAATTGGGACCTAAATGTTCATGTTACGATATATGTTACATTTAGTGTGTAATGTTAATCCACATACACCATGTAGTAGATGACATTTGTGTGTTTGTTCAATTGTACATGTGTTTGAATGTGTACTGTCTTTGTTGTAATCAGAGTTCACATACATGTCACAGTACATTACGCAAAATTATTGGGCATTTGGATTGATAATTGAATGTGAATTGAATCCTATTGTTTGATGTTGAAATTACGCTGGATTAGGGGTGATGGTGGTTCAATACATGGGTTGGGTTGGAATGTTACATATTACATTTAGGAGGTTACATTATTCATGATTCAACGGTAGAGTATTGAAATGTCATATTGGGATTGGGATGAGAAGCATATGGGGATGTCATAGTAGGTTTGAGATGTTACATGTTACATTTACGTTAGGTTTAGAATGAGAAACATATAAGAATGTCACGTTAGGTTTGGGAATGTTACATTGGATTTGGGATACTACATGTTCTATTTATGCTTTGAATTTCAAATTTTGAACCATACAGATATGATCTCAATCTATAGTAACATTGGATTTCTCATATATGGCATTGCCTTTAATCAAGTTATTTTGAATTTCAGAGGCATTTGGGAATGTCATGTTGGGTTTGGGACTGTCACAATGGATTTGGAATGTTACATGTTACATTTACGTTTTGAATTTCAAATTTTCAACCATATAAATATGATCATAATCTATGGTGACATTGGATTTCCCATATATGATATTGCCATTAATTAGGTTATTTTGAATTTCACAATCTATGATAACATTAGATTTTTTATATATGATATTATCAATAATCAGATTATTAATTAGTTGAAATTGAGGGTAAATGTGTCCACAAAAAAATCACAAAACCTATTAGGTTATCAATTTTTTTATAAGACCATATCTTGTATAAATCTTCTGCATAGAATTTATAATAATTCACCCTTATTTTTATTCCTACAAACTCCCTTTCCAAAATTTATATAAATTTTGATTTGTGTTTCCAAATTCTTGTGTAATATTTCTTAATGCCCCAAAACTATTTTAAAATGTAACTGAAACCTCCATTTTCAAGCTACCCAAACAAATTGTAATGATAGCCTAAAGGATTTGAACCAACAATTTATTATATATACAAACATATTTTCAAATTTATTATTGAAACAATAATCATAAAATATGAGTCATCAAATATATGAATTTGGAATCGATTTCGGTGATGCGAATGGTTTATTTTTTAAAGATTCATTCAATAGAATATTAATGTAAAAAATCAAAATGATTCGATAACTATATGTTTAATCCATACTTATTTTAAAATTTTAAGAATAATCATTCATTTTTTATAATACAAATTTAATTCAAATATATAACTAATAATACTAATTATTTTTTTATCTTTTATATGAATATTCTAATTAAGGGGTCTTAAAATAATTAAAATCACTGAAATCAATTTTAAAATAAACTTGTTAAACGTAAATCGAAATGGCTAAGAAATCAAATCCAAATGCAAAGGGAGGGGCAAAGGGAGGGGAGGAGATGAACTTACTCTGGCAGAGACACAGCCAGCCAAGGCCATGGGGACAGTATACATAAGACTGGTAGTCTGAATCATTATCCCAGTAGCCGCCACAGTATTCCTCGGATTATCCAAATACCCAGCTAGAACCGTCACGATCTCGTACCACCACCACTCCAAACATATACCCACACAACTCGGAACCGCCAACCTCAAAAGCGGTCCAACCTCTCCCCACACCCTCTCTCCTCCTCTTCCAATCCCCACCGTCCATCTCCCCTCCCACTTCCCATCATACACGTACACGTACCCCATCATCAACACCACCATATGCAAATTCGTCACCACAGCCGCCACCGCCACTCCCTCCACCCCCATCCCCATCACCACCACTAACCAATAATTCAACGGCACGTGGAACAACACCGCAACAAAACTACAGTACATCATTGGTTTCGTCACCCCCTGTGACCTTAGGTAAACCCTCAAGGGTTGTAAAAGCGTGTTTGTTAAGAGGTCCGGGAGGGAATAGATACAGTACGTCGCGGCTGTTGATGTGATTTGTGGGTCTTGGCCCATGAAGAGCATGATGGGCTCGAGGTTGATCCAGAGGAGGCTGATGGGTATGATTGCCATGAGGAGTATGAAGATCATGCGTTGGAGAGAGAGGGAAAGTAGGTCCCACTTTTTGCTACCGTAGGCTTGGCTGCAGACTGGTTCGAGCCCCGCGGAGAGACCGTTAAGGACGGAGTAGCCGGTTATGTTTGTGAAGCCGATGGAGAGTGCGCCGCCGGCTAGTTCGAGGCTGCCGAGCCGGCCCAAGAAGAGGACTGAGACCACCGCTCGAACGAAGACCAAAAAGTTCATGACTGTCGTCGGGAGAGCCATTCCCCATAGCTCCTTCAGCTCCTCCATCACCTAGAGAGAGAGAAAGACGACTATTAATAAAAAAAATATTTTTAAATATTTGATATCATAAAAACGAATATTAATAAAAAAAATATTTTTCATAATTAATGAAAAAAATTATTTAGGTGCAAACATTTCCTACTTAAAACGGACCATTTTTCATATAAAAATTTTACCCATATCATACTATTACATTTTTTTATTTTTTTATTTTTTATCATCACAACTATGATTGCCACCCCCACATCACCACATCTCCTGCTGCTCTTCCTCCTCTCCAACAACACTAGTACTCTATTTTAATGAAATTTATCACTACCTAATAATAGTATATGATGATTATATTTGAAATGTATATTTTATTATTTTCTTAGTCCATCAAATATCAAAATGAATATTTTGAACAATGACTATTCTATTTTAGTAAATCAAACAATACCTAAATGATTGATTTGTTCTGATAAAAAAAAAATATTTTCTACATTTTTTATGGTATATATAACAAGAAACAAAATTAATAAAAAATAAATTTATTTAAACAAAAAAAAAAATATATATATATATATATTTTGAAATGAAAAGACTAAAATTTTATAAACCTTTACCACACTACCACCATCTCACCACCACTAACACTACCAGTAACTCATTAGTTTCAGAATCTAAACCAAACATAAGATATCGTTTCCTTCGTATGAAAATGTATTCCGTAAAACCAAGCAGAGTATTATTATACATGTATAAATATATCATTCATAGAGACAAAGTAATGGTTAAAGCTCTGTGTAGTGAGTTTACCTGGGTGGTTGTGGGAAGTTTGTGAGAAGAAAAATCTGGGTCTTTGTCTGCCATTGTCAAACTTAAAGCTTTGAAACCCTCTTAAAAGGGCATGTAATCTCTGCAAAAAGATTGATTCAATCAATGAGATAATAAAAAAATAAAATAAAACTGACCCATTTGCTATATCTTCAAAGTTGGAACTTGGGAACTCTCATTTCTCACTGGCGGGGCAGTTAATATAGCAAGAGAAGCACGGAAACAAAATTAAAAGATATTAAAGATTTTCTTCCCAACGTAACCCACCTTTACTCTCTCTCTCTCTCTCAAATGAGTTCTGTTTTTTTGGGATTTTGGGCAGTAGAAGCAACGGCTAAAAATGGTGGAGAAGCATTGAATGAGAGAGAGAGAGAGAGAGAGAGAGAGAGAGAGAGGGGGGGGGGGAAGAGAAGAGGCTGTGAAGGGACAGTGCGAGCTAGGGCTTTAGTACAGAGGAGATTAGAAATAACTGGAGAAAAGAAAAGAAAAGGTTTGCAGACACAGATTTGTCCAGTTAAAAGAAGTGTATTAATTTTTTTAAGTAAATTTAAGTAAAAGCTTTTTTTTGATATTAAAGTATTTTGATGAAGGATTTTAAAATTTTATCAGAAGATCGGTTGATTGATTGGATGTTCAGTCGGTTGACCAGTCAGTGTAATTTTATTTTTTGATGCCTTGAGACAAGCGACCGGGTGATTGACCGGTTAATGTAATTTTTCATAAATTTTTGCTTTAAGGTGGTCATTCGGAAGACATCTGACAATGATTATAAACAGTGATTTGATGAAATGCACATTAGTCCTTAGTTTACTGAAAGAAAAGTGAAATTTTGAATTTGATAATATTATTAGAGCAAAAAAATGAAACTTTCTTTTACTAAATTTAAATTTGAGGACAAATCTGAGTAATTATTGGAAGTAGTCTAAGCCTCCGTTTGAGAAGTGAGTTTGTTTTTTGGCCTTTTTTGCTATTTTAGTCTGGGCTAAAAAGCTTGGTTTATGAAGGATTTTTTAGTTTTTTTGTGAGAGAAGAGTGTAATGATTATGGGTTGGATGTGATGTTTTGTTTGTTGTGACTAAAATAGCCTATTTTATCTTTTGTGGCTAAAATAGCTAAAAAAATCACAAACTCATCTTCCCAAACGGTGCCTTAGGTGTTGTTAGAAAGTTAGTTATTTTAATTATTTTAGTTACATTTTTTATTTTTTTAGTTATTTTAGTCAGACTAAGAAAATTAAATTTAAGAAGTTAATTAAAAAGCTAATTAATTTTTTTAATTGATTTGATAATTATAAAAAAAGTAAAATAATTAATTAACTTATTCCTAAACACCCCCATAGCATTTTCGAGGGAGGGAAAGTGGGATTAAAAAAAAAAAAGAAAAAAAAAGAGAAGTGAGCATCGAGGCTTGAAATCGGTAACGGTGAAAAATATGAAAAGTCGGTCATGTTAAAGTCACCAGTAATGTCCACATTCATGTATTTTCATAGGGAGTAACGTGGGAATTGGGATCCCCCTTCCACTCCCTCCTCGCACTCCCTCTTTGGAAGTTTTTGGGTTCATTTTTAGGTTTAATTTTGATAATTTAAATTGTTCATATTTTAAAATTTATTTAATATATCATATTTATAAAAAATCAAGTTGATCGGATATCAGAAAGTATGTGTTCGGAAAACTGTTTATTAAATTCTTTAAAAAAATAGTTTTTAGTTTGATTTTTCCGAACACATACTTCCTAATATCCGATTAACTTGATTTTTTACAGGTATAATATACTGAATAAATCTTAAAATATGAACGGTTTGAATTATCAAAATTAGGCTTAAAAGTTGACCCGAAAGCCCTACAAAGAGGGAGTGCAAAGGGAGAATCTGTGCTCATAACGTGGAGGATCTCAAATATTTTATTAAAGATTTTATATGAGTATGAAAATTATATGAATTTATGTAGTGTGAGTTTCATATTTATGTTAAATATTTAATAAAAGTATTGATAAAATATTTAAAGTTTTTAATATTTTTCTTTCTGAACTTTATAGCAACTCATTCAGGAAGTTTTATGAAAATTTTTATCAAATATTTTAAATGGGTATGGGATTTATATGGATTTAGGTATTATTTGACATAAATTAAATATGTGTATTTATTTTGATCACATTGTCGTATTATTTTTCTACACATTTTTTAGAACAAAATTAAAAAATATACTTATTTAGATAATCTCAAATTATCTCGTAACATAGTGTAGGTTATATACTTATGTGAGACATTTAATAAATTTTTGGTCTTTTTTTCTTTATACAATAGTTAAAATTTTGGGCAATGATACAGAGCTCTAATTTGAGCTCTACTAAGCTGGCAAGGAAAAAAAAAAAATACAAACATACACATTATATCACAAGTAAGGTCCACTGTATTAGAGCTCCAAATTTTTTTTGTAAAAATTTTATGAATGAGGCTTGTTACCAACACGGAATTAATTACAAACAAAACACAGAAGTAAGTCTTATATTTGCGTGATTAATTATGTGAATAATTTCTATATATTTAAGTTATGCCATGTTTGATTTGGGGTTTAGAAAGGCAGATTGAATTAGTAATATGTAAATCTTACCTGTGTCATGTTTGTTTGTAGGAGAATGTATCAATCCTCTCTTATGATGGGATTAGCATTTGTATGAGATGAGATTGGTAGTCCACTCCTATAGATTGATGGCTAAAAGAACATTTTAATCCTCAGTGTACAAAATTAACAAAATTATCGTGTATGTGATAAGAATTTTTACATAATTTATAAATTTAATCTCAACTAATTAATACCACCGCACTAATGCACAAACAAATATATTTTATCTTACATCTTTAATTTTATCACTCAATCTTATTATATTTATAACCTCATTTAATCTAACTTAATCAGCCAAATATACGAGACATTGGTTTTTCTTCATTTATGTACAAGGAAGATAAAATATATGCTTCTCAAATATTAGTCAAACTAGCAATACACTTTTGCTATGTACAGCTAATACATTCATATTATTAGTATTTTTTTTTTATTTCAACCTAAAATAAAATTAAAAAAAATCATTGTGTAGCACATGAAGACAAACGAAATTTAAGATAATGTGAAATATTGACAATGTAATAATAAATTATTAGCAAATCAAAGTATTAAAATTATTTCAAAATTAAATATTGATCATTCTGGATAATAATGTAATTAAATTCACACTGAATTTCCATCCAGTTAGAATAAAAGTAACTGGAAAATGAATTTGATAATGAAATATCGTTCTAATTAGTTCATTGGTTCAAAGTCCTGAAATAGTTGTCAAATACATAAAAAATAGTAAACAAATATATAAATGATGTTAATTTGTTATGTAAAAAAAACACACACACCCACAATGTTTCACACATCTTATTATGAGGATTATGATTTTTAATTTGAACTAATGATAGTTATTGTTTTCATATTAAAATAATCAATAATTAACTGTACAGTTGAACATACCTTGAATAAAGAGTGAAAACTTATTGAGTATTATACAGAGTTAACAATGAGATAATAACAGTAAAAAAATAATTGAAAAAAGATGGTGATTTTTAGTTTGAACTAATGAGAGTTATTTTGAAAAGTGAGTTAAAAGTCACTTCTTAGTTTTTAATCCTCTTTCCTCTCTCACCAAAAAAGTCAAAAAATAGCTTTTAACCATCTTCTCAAAACACCCTTGAATATTATTGTTCACATTAAAATAATCAAGGGAGTAAATTCAGTTAAGTAGTGGAAAATGGTAGTGCTACATGCACTAATTAGTGTACCAACACTAGTTATGACATTATTATTGACTCCACTCATTATACAAATTACAAATATCAAAAGCCTCTTAAATTATATCACATCATCAATCGATATACTAATTAGTACAACAATTAGTGGATATAACATTATTCAGTGAAAAAATTGTGTTGTATTGAATATTTTAGTTCCATAATAATATTGATTTCATCGGGAGTATCTAAATTTATAATTTTATTTTAACACCATAGTAAAAAATTTATGGCAACATTTCAATTTTATTAACATAATTTAAGAGAGTATTCAAATTTATAATTGTATTTTAAAAATATGGAATTATTTTAATAACATAACTTAAGGGAGCATCTAAATTTACAATTTTATTTTGACACCACAGTGAATCAGATTTATTGAAGGTGGAAACATTTAAGGTAACATTTCAATTTTATTAACATAAGTTAAGGGGTATTCAAATTTAAAATTATTTAATTAGCATAATTTAAGGGAGCTTCCATATAAATTAATGGCATCATTGATGGCAGCTTTCCTCACGGATTAGAGGATCTCCAATTGTTGCTATTATAATGTCATTGTTATTGTTATAATTTGACAATAAATAGTGTTATTTCACGAAATTATAGTAATGGTGTTCCAATAGTCATTTGTTATTTTGGCAAATTTCAACCAACTTTCCCTCCAAGTTTAGAGGTGTTATTTGGATATAAATTTTTTTGGGATTTTATTTTTGTTTATTTTTTTGTCTTTTGTGACCTTTTTTTAATTGTTTGTAAAAAAAATTATATATTTATATTATTCCCAAGTAGAAAATATAAAAAATGAAATTTTTTTTGAAAAATTAGAAAAAAAAATTAAATATAATTCACCCCACCCAAAAAATATATCACTACATATTTAATAAATTATACATTGCAACAATAATACTACATTCTGTTGTAGAAAATACTGAAAAATAAAAAAAAATGAAATTTCATTACAAAATTTTAAAAAAATGGCATTGCAAATAATGACTAACAATTATATTAAAAAATAAATAACATTGTAAAATTTAAAAATACATTATCTCGTTTCAATATAATAGCCGTTTGAAGATATGACCGTTTGACACGAGCTGGTGTTTGTTTTTCTTTTGGTTTTTAGCAAAACAAAGCATAACGGCTCTATTTGGTTTCATCACCACCGTTCACGTGTTTTTTCTCTATCTTTCTCACTCTCAGTCTCCGTCTCTCTCTATTTGGTTTCGTCATCACCTCCTCCCTTTCAGTCTCCGTCTCTCTCTCTCTCTCACTCTTAGATATCATGTCCCTTCTTCCTCCATCACTGAAAGTCTCTCTTTGTTCTTTGTCTCTCTCTTCTCCGTCTCTCACCTCCTTCTCTCTCTGCTCTCTGTCTCTGTCTCTCTCTACCCCCCACTTCTATCTTTATCTCACTCCTCTCTCTCTCTATATATATATATATATCTATTCTCTATCTAACTATCGGTCGTTTTCTCTCATGGATAGACACTTCTCTCTCTCTCTCTCTCTCTCTCTCTCTCTCTCTCTCTTCTAGAACCTAGATCTAACTCTCTCTCACTCCTACAACCCGCTGTTGTCTGCCAGATC